GCCCAAGATCCTGCCTTGCACTTCCCAGACTGCTTTGAATGACATGGGGCTGAGCTGCCTCTGCAGCCACTGGGTTAAGCTGCCAGGTGCTAAGAGGCAGCAATAGGCCAGAGTGCTCCTGAATCCTGCTCTTCCACAGATGCCATGATCTCTGAAGCCTAGCAAATGTTCTGTATATGTGTCAAAAGGCCATCGTCCCATGCCGTACTGATGCCAGCACTTGGAGTGTTCGATGAAATGAGGAAAATATTTGCTCAAACTCAGTCAACAAATAGCAAGATATGCTAGGATGCAATTAGAATTTTTTTTTTTAATAATCTTAGTTTATTAGGGTACAAAGGGTCAAGGGCTACAGGGTGAAAGTGGGTAATATCATTGTTTCCACACTAATATAATCATTTTGCCCTGTATCTGGGGTTAGGGGAGTAACAAAGGGAAAAGCCCCACCCTACCTCCCACCGATCCCCGATCCCCAACATGAGGTGCTCTCCAAGGGTCCTGCTCAAACAGTTTTGATAGTTCATCAGTTCTGGATTGCTGCCAATCTCACCATCCCAACCGCAATGAAACCTATTCAGAGTCCACTGGCTGACAGTCTCTTGATGGTTGGGGTTCCAAGATCAGCAGTTCAGTTGGAGGGATATCCAAAGAAACTTCATCTGAGTTGATCCCAGATCTGATTCTTGAGTGAGTTTGCTAGTACAGACTCCAACACTGTTCTTCACACCAATCAGCTTATGCATATGCTGGTCGTTTCGATTGCTGGGTCCGTTCGGCTTCCAGCCCCATCTTCCTTGTGAACCAACGGGTGTTGTAGTCCAGCTCGATTCTACCCACTTCATACTCGGTCTTCATGCAAACCATTTGGAGCTGCAGCCTAGTTGGGGCGACTCCCCAAAACCCCTACCAGTTCTGCCCCCTACCCTGGTTCCCATGCTTGCCAGTATGCACCACAGGCTTGTCCAGTCTGTCCCACATCCCATTTATCTCTCGCACACATCAATGGACATTGAAGCTTAGTTCAACCCAACCAACCTATTATCCAGCCCATACACCCACTGGCAGGTGCCTTTCTGTCTAACCGCCCCCACCCTGCTCCTAGCCTGGGTTTCGTGCTGTCCAGTGAGGGTGATAACCCTGAGGGAGGTGCCCACTATTTCCCTACTAGGCCACACCCACTCCCAGAGTATGCAGTCTCCAGGTGGTTTTGGCATTTGACTTGACAGAATTAGCTCCCAGTACCAGCCTCTGCCAGCTAAAGCTGTGGCTAAGCCCAAACACCCCTCAACCCACTCTAATTTTAACTCGCACCAGTCAGAACAGTCAGCTCACCGTGAGGCCCACAGGTGCTATAGCCCTGCCTAGTCTGAACTGCCCCCATCCGTATTCACACTTTCCAATGGAAGTAGTTATCCAGCAGGGGTGCCCACGTGCCCCTGTCAGCTTTCCCTCCTCCCCGATTGTCACATGTGCTGTTTGTGTGCTGCAACCATATCTGGTATGGCTCATCTCACCTTGGCATTACTGGTTGTGTACTGGTATGTGTTGCAACCGAACCTGGCTCGACCCACACTCTGTTCTGGTGCTCGGATTCACCAGAAGGTAATGTGAACAGATTCAGGCTGGTCTGCCCCCAACCCATGCCATGTGTGTGCCAGTGGGATAATTTTCATTGCCTGTTCTGGGTTGTTCCCTATTGTGCTTCTTGCGCTTACCTGCATGGGACTGTGTCCTGCCAGAGAAGTTGCCCAGGCTCCTCCACCAGAACCTCTCCCAATGCCAGTTTTTGTGCATACCAGTGGGTCCATGAGCCAGCACTACTCAGTTCGCCTCCTATCCTAGGAGGAACAGTGGCTTTTCCTGACTGGCCTTCGACCCAAGCTGGTTCTTGTTGTTGGATTTTTCAACCCAGCCATGGCTCTTCCATACCCCCACACAGCTCACACAAGGTTCACTAAGGGCTGAGACCTAGCCTAGTCTGTCACACATCTCTCTCCAGTCCTCCAGAGCACCAGATGGTGTTGGAATCTGGCCTGGCTTGGTACTTCCACTCCCAGTCCACACTTGTGCCAAGTGAGATTACAATTGTATCCTGATCAGAATGCAGCCTCAGTTCCAGCCCATGCGCTCCTTGGTGGGAAACTCAACCCAGCTAGGGTGTCCCGTTATTTCCCCAACCGGGCCTCTTCCCTGCCATAGAGCAGGTGTAGGCTGGTGGTTGTTCTGTCTCCGCTTGGCAGAGCCCCTCACTTGTCCTGGCCCCTTGGATGCTGTGGCTTAGTGCCTCTGCCTCACGCAGATCAGTATATGCAAGGACCTACATGGCATGAGCTGTGCTCCAACCTGATTTCTGTTGTTTCTTGTGAGTTAAGGTTTGTTCAGCCCTGCCCATTCTGCCCCCTTCCAGTGGCAGCCCGGCCCACCCCACATCCTGTTTAAAGATGCACATTTGGGTGCTGCTGCCTTGACCTACCCTGACTGTTGTGGGTTCCTTTACCCATGAGTGATGGCAGGTGGCGTGGTCACACCTAGCTTAGACCATTGCAACCCCAGCTTGCGAGTAGACCCGGGGGACTTGTATTCCAAGGGGTTGAGTCCACACAACCCCACAGAGTCTACCCCCAGCCCAAGTTCTCTTGCGTGCTGGATAGTGTCTTAATCCTGCCAAATGTGACCACTCCACAACTCCAACACTCAGTCGGGCAATGGTACCCAACACTGCCAAAGAGGCCCCCATCCATAGCTTTGGTGTGGGCTAGTGTGTGGCGATCAGTGATGTTCTTTTTTTTTTTTTAAGATTTATTATTATTATTATTTTTATTGGAAAGGTGGATATACAGAGAGGAGAGACAGAGAGGAAGATCTTCCGTCCAATGATTCACTCCCCAAGTGAGTGCAACAGCCGATACTATGCCGATCCGAAGCCAGGAGCCTCTTCCGGGTCTCCCACGTGGGTGCAGGGTCCCAAAGCTGTGGGCCTTCCTCGCTGCTTTCCCGGGCCACAGGCAGGGAGCTGGAAGGGAAGCGGGGCTGTCGGGCTAGAACCGGCGCCCATATGGGATCCCGGGCATGCAAGGCGAGGACCTTTAACCACTTGCGTCACGGCGTCGGCCCCGATCAGTGATGTTCTATACTAATATCCCATCTCTGTATTCATAATTGAGCTGTTGCATCTGTGTTAGTGAAATTATCTTCTGGATACTTCCCTAAAACCATTAGGTCTTGGTCCCCGTGCATGCTTAAATCTTTCATGACCCTGTCGCTGAGAATACCCGAAAATTCACTTTGCACCTACACTCAACCTAGTCTTAGTCATGAGTGACCCCAGGCAGCAACTACCTATCTTGAAAACCCCAGAGTTCGCCCTGTCGGGTGGCCAGCAACCAAACCCTGGCACCACTTGGTGCACTGGCCGCCCTGGGGGAGGCCGAGGACTGGTTCATTGCCTGTAGCAGTGTCTTTGGTGTGAGTCTTCCACATTGGGTCTGACCAGGCAGGGGCACCCCCCACAGTCGCCACACTGCAGGGAGCGTCAGATGCACCCGAGCCCAAGGACCGAACTCCTCCCAAACTCCCCCAGCCGCAAGGTCTTAGCCGCAATTAGAATTCTTTTCTAGAATCTGTTTCTTGTTGTGGGAACTGCAGTTTTCAGAGGGAAGACGAGCTGGTGTGAGAAAAATCTTCTGTCTGCTGTTTCATGCCCCACATGGCTTCCATGGACCGAGCTGAGCCAATGTGAAGGCACAAGCCAGGAACTTGCTCAGGTCGCCCTTGTGGGGGCAAGGACGCAAGGACATGAGCCATCCTCTGCCACTTTCCCAGTCTCTAAGCAGGGAACTGGATGGGAGTTAGAGCTGCCAAGCCTTGAAGCAACATCCCTATTGGATGCTGTCCCTTAGGGTGCAAGAAGATTAGCCTTTTGAGCAAGAGCGCCAGCCCTACAGTGGATACGTGGCTAACTCCTCTTTCTACGGAAACACACACACACACACACACACACACACACACACACACACACACGAGACTGATGTTTATGGGATAGGCAGATTGAGAGAGGGGGAGACAGTGGGAAAGCAAGAAAGGGAAAGCAGGATCTGCCATGTGCTAGTTCCCTGCTCAAATGGACGCCAGAGCCACGGCTGAGTGGACATGAAGGCTGGAGTCAAGAGCTTCTTCTGGGTCTCGCAGGTGGATGCAGGCTCTCGAGTCTTTGGCCAGCCACCGCTGCTTGCCAAGGCCATAAGCAGAAAGCTGGATGGGAACAGGTGCAGCTGTGACACGAACCACACCCATGATACATGCTGGCACTGCAAGGCCGAGGCTTTGCCAGTGAAGCCATAACTCCAGCCCTTTGATTTCCTCTTCAATGGCTCTGCAGGGCAAGAATATTGAACCTCTGATGGAAGAAGGTAAGAGGTAAAAATACCTTGTCAAACTTCCATGTCTGCAAACACTCTTCAAATACACACACACACACACACACACACACACACACACACACACACACACACACAGACACTCTAAAAGAGAACCTGCCACCCTAGCAGAGCAGAGGGACAGAACGCGGGAAAGAAAAGACATATTGCAGAGCCAAGTTTCCAAAATGCAATGGTTGATTTTGGTGACAGGTGAGAAACATGGCAAGGTCTACTCAAATTGCTAGAGACCCAAGCAGGAGGCCTTCCTTTGATCAGACAGAATCCGATCAAGCTTGACTGGATTTGCCATGCTCAGATGAACATGTTGTATGCTAATCCCATGTTAGGGCCCTATATAAGGCTCCTGGTCTCCTCCCTTCCCTCTCTGCCTTGCTGGTGCTCTGCTGGGAGCCTGTACGTCTCCAGGGCGGTTTGTCAAGCTTCACCCACCACCATTTGTGCATCTGGAGAAGCACTCTACTTTGCAGCAGACAGAAAGTCCTTCAGAACACGCAGGTGGAGAGGTGGCTGTCAAGCCAGAAGACACAGCCGCAGACCCACAGAGCGCCTACATCTCAGAAGATGGGCAAGCAGAATTTGGCCGCAGCTGGGACCAGAGTTCTTCCCGCGGAGGAAGAGAACCCCAGGCTGAAGTGCAAAAACTGTGGCGCCTTCGGTCACATGGCCAGCAGCACGAGGTGCCCCATCAAGCGCTGGGATGGGACCCTAGCATTGTATCCCTTGAACTCCAAAGTACAGAACCTGGGGCCACAGAAGATCCAGCAGTCCAAGGATTCCAGGCCCTTTACCAAGACACTACAAGACAAGGAGGGACACAGGCAACAAGAGAAGCTTTGCAGAACTCCCCTCCAGACATGTCTCACCAAAGTCCAAGCAAGACAGCAACACCACCGTGAGAATGCCACTGACTCCTCGGAAAACCTTCTGAGCACACCCAGGAGGCTTGTGCCTGTGCAAACAAACAAGAAGACAAGCGTCACGAATCCTGTTCTCCAAGCTCAGTCAGAAGAGAGGTCTCAAGTCCCTGCGTCTCCTGTTCCCCAAGAAGCCTCCAGGGTGCAAGGCCCACCTCAAAGCTTCCAATCGCATGCACCAGTCAGCTGTCCTGCGGGGCAGACACGGGCCAAGCCACAGGATCCTGCACGCACAATGCGTCCACACTCCACACTCGGCAGCATCGTTGAAGGCAAGAGATCTGCCCGTTGGCCCAGAGCTTCTTGGCAGACGGGCCCCAAGAGGCCAAGGCTCGCTGCTACTGTCCCTGTACCACAGAATGCTGGGAGCAACAAAGAGCCGGCGACTCTCCAAACACAACAGCCACTGCCACTGCCAGCTACAGCAGGACTTGGAAGGAAAGCAGCATGGCATGCCATCCGGAGCTCACCAAATCCAGAGCTCAGCGCTCGTCTGCAGCCTCCAAGCAATAGACCGCAGCTGAAGCCCTCACAGGACTGCACTGGCTCCCATCCCCCAAGTCCTGCCTCTGCCCCTCACCCACAGTCCCTCAAGATGCTCCTCAGCAGACTTCATGGCAACCGGTGGAGCTGCAGAATCATCAGCACTCCCTCTTCCCATCCTCCTGACGAGGCCGTTCCTCAAACACTGAAGACCCCCATTGCAGAAGGCATAGTGGGATCCTGCTCCAAATCACCACTCAGCGTGCTCTATGAGGATCTCCAGGTCTCCTCCTCTTCCGAGGACACTGACCAGGAGGACTGAGATGCCAAAGGCAAGGCAATGTGAGCTTGTCCTAGGGGAAAGCTGCAAGCAGCAAGCTGGGCCTCCTGAATTACAGCGCCCTCCGGTGTTGAGCCGCAGCACCATGGTGACCTCACAGAGTGCTCAGAGCTGACAGGGACAATGACTCATTTGAATCAATCCTCTTGCTGGTCATTCTTTTTCCTCTGCAATCCCACTGGGAAGAATGGCTTTTGCACGGAGGTGATCATGGCTTTTGCACGGAGGTTGATTGCAGGAGCAAGTGTGACACCTCTCCTAGCTAGAAATCTGAGACGCTCATCTGCACAGTTTTCCCAATGAAGATTTGGGGGGTGGGGGTGGAGGGGCGGGGATCACCAGGGCTGTCCTTTGGGCTGGAACGCTTTGAAGCAGGGCCTGGCCAGAGCTTCCAAGAGGAAGAGCTGTCATGCCAAGTTGCTGCTCCTGGTGTCCCAGGAATTTCACTCCGAGAGCCTTTCACATATATATCTTGGTGGGAGGGTAGTTCACAAGTCAAGTGTATGGGTGTGCACGTACAAAGGGTTTGTGTACTGCCATCTTGTCTCAGGGTAAAATCCTGCCTGTCTTGCATACCGCAATGTGGTGAGCTTGTGCTTCTTTATGCATTCCTAGTTAACACCTACAAGCTTGGCTGGACACACTTGTGCTCCAAAGGGTATCAGAGATCACTTGAGGAGACTCCAGGCGGGGCCCTCCACACGACTTCATCACCGAAGGTCTGAGGGAGATGAGAGAAGAGGGTGGATAATCGATGCCCTGGTTCTTGTCATGCGAGCCTGGAGCTCCTCATTCCCTTCCCCAGTGGGAAGCAGGGAGCCACACGGCGTGGCATGGATGAGGGCAAAGCAGAGTCCACAGGGACACACCTCGCGCATGTGTTGAAGGTGTCTTTTTGGAGTTAGAGAGATCATTGTTCTCTCCCTTGGATTATCTATCGATGGATGGATGGGTCGATTGATGGTGTTCCCAGGAGAGAGCGAGATGGCCGGAGGAGGATGTGGCATCCTGTGGCTCCCTTTCAAAGGACTGCGTGGGCAGAACGTGGCCAGCCCAGCCACGAGTAAGGACATTCTCCCAAGTCTTCAGCGCAGCTGGCATTGGATGCCAGCTCTGCAAGTGACCACTTGAGCGTTCTGCTGGAGTGCCGGCCTCCTGCAGAGGCTTGCAAGCTAGGTGCACAGGGTGTGGGCAACACTTGGGAGACTGTTGCATCGGTGCAGACCTGTAGGACTGTGGGATAGGTTGTCCATCACAATTTTGCTCCCGTGCAATGCACCCGATTGGGGAGGCAGAGAAACTTGATGTTTCCCAGGAAACGCTATGGTTCGCTCGAGCATCCACATCTGGTTTCCATTTGGAGGAAGCTGAAGAGAGAACAGGAGATTGTAGGCATGGTCTGGCTCTTGCCATGACGCCCAGGCAGAGCCTGTGTGTCCCTACTCACCCCAGTGCTCTGTGGAGCACAAGACCCTGCCTTGCACTTCCCAGGCTGCTCTGAATGACATGGGGCTGAGCTGCCTTCGCAGCCGCTGGGTAAAGCTGCCAGGTGCTAAGAGGCAGCAACAGGCCAGAGTGCCCCCGAATCCTGCTCTTCCACAGATGCCATGATCTCTGAAGTCTAGCAAATGTTCTGTATATGCGTCAAAAGGCCATCGTCCCATGCCGTACTGATGCCAGCACTTGGAGTGTCCGATGAAACGAGGAAAAGATTTGCTCAAACTCAGTCAACAAACAAACAAACAGCAACATATGCTAGGATGCAATTAGAATTCTTTTCTAGAATCTGTTTCTTGTTGTGGGAACTGCAGTTTTCAGAGGGAAGACGAGCTGGTGTGAGAAAAAATTTCTGTCTTCTGCTTCATGCCCCACATGGCTTCCATGGACCGAGCTGAGCCAATGTGAAGGCACAAACCAGGAGCTTGCTCAGGTCAACCTTGTGGGGCAAGGACGCAAGGACATGAGCCATCTTCTGCCACTTTCCCAGTCTCAAAGCAGGGAACTGGATGGGAGTTAGAGCTGCCAAGCCTTGAAGCAGCATCCCAATTGGATGCTGTCGCTTAGGGAACAAGAAGATTAGCCTTTTGAGAAAGAGCGCCAGCCCCACAGTGGATACGTGGCTAACTGTCTTTTTTACAAAACACACACAAACACACAAGAGACTGATGATTATGGGATAGGCAGATTGAGAGACATGCTTGATTTCATCATCCTGGGCTCCATGGACATTGGATGTTAAGGGACGCCCCTTGGTTTTCTTCTAGATCTGGTCAAAAGGCTGATGGTATGTGAAGTTCCTGAGCCACGTGGAGTCGTTTGGGCACTGGAAGAATTTTGCTGCCGGTTTCGATTGTTGCCATTCACCAACACACTAAGTTCCCCAGGCATCACATACACTTTCAGGCATATGTGCTGCCATAGCTGTGGTAATATGGTAGCTGAAAATGATTTGGGCGCTGAACTTCTCTGTGGATGTGGAGTTGTTAGCGCCTGGAATGAGGATCAGCATCCTTGTTTAGTGTGGGTGCTCAACATGCTTGATTTCATCATCCTGGGCTCCATGGACATTGGACGTTCAGTGACCCCACTTGGTTTTCTTCTAGATCTGGTCGTAAAGCTGATGGTATGTCAAGTGAATGAGCCAGGAGGAGTCATTTTGGCACTGGAAGACCTGTGCTGCCCCTTTCGATTGTTGCCATTCACCAACACACTCAGTTCCCCAGGCATCACATACACTTTCAGGCATATGTGCTGCCAGAGCCAACAGAATCCATGGTAGCTGAAAATGGCTTGGGCGCTGAACTTCTCTCTGGATGTGGAGTTGTTAGTGCCTGGAATGAGGATCAGCATCCTTGTTTTGTGTGGGTGCTCAACATGCTTGATTTCATCATCCTGATCTCCATGGACATTAGATGTTAAGTGACCCCACTTGGTTTGCTTTTAGGTCTGGTCGAAAAGCTGATGGTATGTGAAGTTCCTGAGCCTTGTGGAGCTCTTTTGGCACTGGAAGACCTGTGTTGCGCCTTTCGATTGCTGCCATTCACCAACACACTCAGTTCCCCAGGCATCACATACACTTTCAGGCATATGTGCTGCCAGAGCCAACAGAATCCATGGTAGCTGAAAATGGCTTGGGCGCTGAACTTCTCTCTGGATGTGGAGTTGTTAGCGCCTGGAATGAGGATCGGCATCCTTGTTTTGTGTGGGTGCTCAACATGCTTGATTTCATCATCCTGGGCTCCATGGACATTGGACGTTAAGTGACCCCACTTGGTTTTCTTCTAGATCTGGTCGAAAAGCTGATGGTATGTGAAGTTCCTGAGCCACGATGGAGTCTTTATGGCACTGGAAGACCTGTGCTGCCCCTTTCGAATGTTGCCATTCACCAACACACTCAGTTCCCCAGGGATCACATACACTTTCAGGCATATGTGCTGCCAGAGCCAACAGAATCCATGGTAGCTGAAAATGGCTTGGGCGCTGAACTTCTCTCTGGATGTGGAGTTGTTAGCGCCTGGAATGAGGATCGGCATCCTTGTTTTGTGTGGGTGCTCAACATGCTTGATTTCATCATCCTGGGCTCCATGGACATTGGACGTTAAGTGACCCCACTTGGTTTTCCTCTAGATCTGGTCAAAAGCTGATGGTATGTGAAGATCCTGAGCCACGTGTGGTCGTTTTGTCACTGGAAGACCTATGCTGCTCCTTTCGAATGTTGCCATTCACCAACACACTCAGTTCCCCAGGCATCACATACACTTTCAGGCATATGTGCTGCCAGAGCCAACAGAATCCATGGTAGCTGAAAATGGCTTGGGCGCTGAACTTCTCTCTGGATGTGGAGTTGTTAGCGCCTGCAATGAGGGTAGGCACCCTTGTTTTGTGTGGGTGCTCAACATGCTTGATTTCATCATCCTTGGCTCCATGGACATTGGAAGTTATGTGACCCCCCTTGGTTTTCTTCTAGATCCTGTCGAAAACCTGATGGTATGTGAAATTCCTGTGCCAAAGGAGTCATTTTGGCGCTGGAAGAACTTTGCTGCTCCTTTCGAATGTTGCCATTCACCAACACACTCAGTTCCCCAGGCATCACATACACTTTCAGGCATATGTGCTGCCAGAGCCAACAGAATCCATGGTAGCTGAAAATGGCTTGGGCGCTGAACTTCTCTCTGGATGTGGAGTTGTTAGCGCCTGGAATGAGGATCGGCATCCTTGTTTTGTGTGGGTGCTCAACATGCTTGTTTTCATCATCCTGTTCCATGGACATTGGACGTTAAGTGACCCTACTTGGTTTTCTTCTAGATCTGGTCGAAAATCTGATGGTATGTGAAGTGCCTGAGCCACGTGGAGTCGTTTTGGCACTGGAAGAACTGTGCCGCCCTTTCGATTGTTGCCATTCACCAACACACTCATTTCCCCAGGCATCACATACACTTTCAGGCATATGTGCTGCCAGAGCCAACAGAATCCATGGTAGCTGAAAATGGCTTGGGCGCTGAACTTCTCTCTGGATGTGGAGTTGTTAGCGCCTGGAATGAGGATCGGCATCCTTGTTTTGTGTGGGTGCTCAACATGCTTGATTTCATCATCCTGGGCTCCATGGACATTGGACGTTAAGTGTTCCGTAAGGATTTCAACTAGATATTCTTCAAAAGCGAATGATATGTGAAGATCCTGAGCCACGTGGAGTCACTTTGGCATGGAAGACCTGTGCTGCCCCTTTCGATTGTTGCCATTCACCAACACACTCAGTTCCCAGGCATCACATACACTTTCAGGCATATGTGCTGCCAGAGCCAACAGAATCCATGGTAGCTGAAAATGGCTTGGGCGCTGAACTTCTCTCTGGATGTGGAGTTGTTAGCGCCTGGAATGAGGATCGGCATCCTTGTTTTGTGTGGGTGCTCAACATGCTTGATTTCATCATCCTGGGCTCCATGGACATTGGACGTTAAGTGACCCCATTTGGTTTTCCTCTA